ATATATATATATATATATATATATATATATGCATGCATATATATGCAGGTTGCACAATTATTTCTCATCCTCCTGGCTCTTTTCCATTCGCTCTCACACTCTCTCCTCCTTTACAGAGATGTAAAACCAAGGGGTGGAGCTGATACATTGTTTTATCTGCCAAGGAGAACTTCTATAGAAAAAAACAGTTTGGGAACTTTTGATCTTCAATGAATTTTTGAGTTGGTTAGTTATGTTTACCCTGTAGCCATTCCTCAGGTGAAAAACAATACAGACAAGTTACTGCAAAAAAAAAAAACAAATCTTTTCTTAAACATCCAAGAACATTAACTTAATGTGTTAACGCAACGATTCCTCAATGATTTATTACCGTGGGGAATACACCACAGCCTGAACAAATGCAGACCCAGAAAGAGCAGCAACATCTTAATGTTGTTCTCACCATCACAGCAGGCTTGAGGGGTGCAACATTTTCCTGCTGCGGCAGTTCTTCGTAGTCATCCCAGCGGATAAGTCTGGGCACGTCACTGCTGTCTCTCCACAGAGGCCGTGTTGGAAAAGACTTTAGAGGAGACTGTGAAGGAAACCTGCAGAGAAAAGAAATGAGCATCCCCGATGTGAAAAAAGACATTGAGGGGAGAGCAACGATGTCTTGAGGTACTTTTAATATCAAAGCACCTGTAAAGATGACCGTTATCTTCAAAATCTTCTGTTCCGTGCCGCCCTTTGATATCCTCAATGACATGGGCCTTGAAAAACTTCTTCAGGAGCTGCAGAGTTTGGTAGCGAGTCACGTCAGGTCCAAAGTTGTAGTTCCGCCTTAGTAAGTCATGCAAGAAATCCACAGCTTCTGACCCGGTGAAACTGTAATCGTAGTAGCGGAAGTGTGCCCAGTGTCTTCTGAGTGGCATGCCCCCACGGAAGAGTTTGATGGTTTCATTCCACTGCACCACAGTGATAAACAAAAGTAAATTGTCACTAGAGACGTAAGAAACAAATCAAGTACATAAACAGTCTCCACAAAAGTTGAATGAAAACCATACATTTATAATGCTATAACAAAGTCTAATTTTGACCTAAGCCAGATGACAGGATTCTGGGAGTTTCTGTATAAAAAATACAAAGGTGGAACAGTCCATAATCATGTTGTCATTTGTGAACACAGCTTAAAATACCATCTCACCGCCAAGCATGTGTTTGCAAAGGGCTTCCACTTTAGGTCAGACCTCTGGCTTGTGTCAAACCAGCCACACTGACACATTTGCCAAACTATACTAATATACTCACCTATACACTATCACAGTTAATTTGATGTGAAACATCATCGACATATTGTTGTTTATTTTTATGTAATACTCCTAAAATTAATCTCAAAATAATGATTAATCCTCAGCTACTTTGTTATTAATCTGCTTAAAACCAACAAAACAACAACAATTGCTACCCTGTGTATTGCTACCCTGGGAGTTCAGCCACCTTCCTGTAAACTTAATTTGTAAAACAACAACAACATACTGCAGTAACGGCTTTATCGTGCTTGCCAAGAGTAATTGATGCAGTGAATAGTTTATCTTTAAAAGATACTGCGCAAACTTGTTCCATCCTGACAAAGTACATGTTTCATTATATCAACAGCAAATCTACAGCAACAAAAATGTAGAAACCATTATTGTACTGATGATAACAAACCTATGTTTTAGGTAAAAAATTAATAGTTTTTTTTCCCTTTTACAATTAATAGTTCAATATATAAACATGATAGAGTCATATTAATGATCGCACAAATAAACACATTTAACATATGTGTGACTTCTTTTTGGAGTGGACACATTTTAATTTTAAAAATTGTCACAATTCATGTAAAATCACAGGGCACAAATACATTTATTATTTAAGCAATAGTGAACACTGCTGAGATGCATAATAACTAACAACTCCATCTGATTAGTAAAATCACTGTCACGCCTGTTCGCACCAACACCGAAAACACCAAACCACCAGTGATAGCTCTAGTTTTTGTCATGAGCAATGAGCGAAAATTTGAACCTCATCAATGCACATCCTTTGTAGCTGTGATTCTCCACACAGTTTGAAAACAAATCAGATGAAAGGATTCTTGCCATCACCTATCATTTATGTAATTGTCTATGGCTGTGCTTTACCTGATGTCAAAATTCCTAGAGTTAAAAGGGTTCTTGGATTGTGCTCCACGGCTAAACCTGTCACAACATATAAGAATGCTAGCCAGAATAAAGCCCTTTCTTATATTATTCATACAACCTCTGTGGGTAAAAGAATGCCTAGAGGAAACTTTGCACAGCATGTGGTCAGGGACTAGCTTCAAAATAATATTAAAATAACTACCAGGGCAATGTTTGTTTAAAGCTTTGATGCACCTACAGATCAAGACAAACTACAATGCCAACTTCACGGTTGTGCCTGAGACATTTATTATCTGATTTAAACCAATATAGAAAAAACATTTTCATACGCAGTCTTAAATAGTGTGTAACTGAGAGCTCTACTATCCACAAGACATGGCCGCATGTGGTTGCATTTACCTTCACATACTATACAACTGAAACTGGCTTCCACTGCTGGCTCTAATTCTTTGAATATAGACTATGAATACACTTCAAAATGGGACTGATGGTGTCACACTAAAAAGGAATGTTGTGGTCACATGTCAAAATAATACAGGGCCTCTGTATTTTAACAGAGATTGTTTAAGCAGAAAAAAAATTGGCATTAAAATATGCATTCCTGGATTTTATATTTTAATAGTGGTGTAAAAACAGAAAAAAAGCAAAAAAGTAAAGCTTTTATTAATATATATTTATTTGTTCATTATCCCCGTAAATAAAAAGCATGCATTTTAAACTAAAATGACCTTACAACGCTCTCCACACATGACTAAAGTTGGTAATTAGCTGCATTTTTCAATTACGATTTTTTACTTACAAATTATCAGACAATCCTGATAATAACAGTACTGACCCATTGAAATCATGTCAAGCCCTACTAACTACTTTTGGGTCCCAACACATACAAATACTGCTTTAATGGTCCCACAATTGAGAATCTTGCAATTGTACAGAAGCAACCGAACAGAACCAATAGGAAAAAGTACAAAATAATACAAATAACCAAAACACTACAAAGTATGTAGTGTAAAGGTCTACACGAATATAACTTTTCATGTTCTATTTTCCTATGTTGTTGCTACGTAGGGATTCCAAATTTTGTCCACATGTAACCGTTAGCTAATTAACTTCATTACAGTTTAACCACAAACAGTTCACATTTGTGCCACACAAAACAGTCTAAATGGTGTGTTAACGTTTAACTTAAGCTGGGGTTGGTAAATATTTAGGTTGGATGTAAGCAAATAGGCCGCGACAAGTATAGAAAATAAAAACATATACAGAGCGAAAGCTTTAACTGCGAACTCTTTAAATGTCACAGCCATGCTAGGTCAGTGCTACAAAAAAAACAACTCACCAACTTCGTAGCCCGATAAGGCCCAGGTCCAATGACGGTGCCTTCCATTGAAATAACACAATAATAAATAAACAGTTAAACCGCCGTCAAAACATTGAACTATGAAACTTTGATTAACTTTCTAGGCAGTTGAAATCGCTAATGAAAGCTGCGGAGATTCCAATACAAACAAAAACGTTGCTGCGAAAATTTGAATATGTCACGTCACAAGGGTTAATCGACGTGATTGGACCGCTGATCACGTGATCATTGGGCGGAGCACAAGGTTCAAAACACCCAACGTTTTACGGTTATTAACTAAATTAAGTTCACCTCCTATTTTAAGTTGCTAAATAAAATAAAGACAGGAAGAGGCTATGAAAAGGGGTTATAAAAATGTAATTTAATAGTATAATATGAAAAAATATATAACTAATATGTACTGTCTGAAATATTTTTTTAAATCCACTTGTGTCATGTGAATAACGCAAACATCAGCCTTGTATAACTTACATTGGCTGCCCATTTCAACTTTATGCCCGCTTCACACAATCATGTTATTTTCAAATACACAAAGTTGCTTTGCTGTAATGTGTTTTTCTTTTTATCTTTAATGAAAATGAATTATTAAACTTCTTTCAGTAGCCATTGAAAAGATCAAAATCAATACACATTGATTCAGAAAATTGCATTAGGTCTTGTAATAAAGGCAAACACAGTTCACAATAGGAAATATGTTTTATTTATAACTGTTATATATCATTATATTATATTTTTTAATTAGGACTTGGGTATTTGTGAGTAAACAAAGACAATTACCGTGTACATTATTTCCAATGAAATGTCTTGGTTTTTTGAAGACATTTTATCTCTCATTCGAGAAGATTCTTCAGTTTTTAGTAACAACTACAACATTTCCATTAATACAGGTCCCAAATTATTTGCTCTTTAGATTCCCGAATGTAATCTGAATTGATTTTGCACAAATGCCTCATACGTGGCAACTGAAATCATAAAAAGAAATGTTAATTTAGCCTCACGACATGTATCCCAAAGCAACAGGGCACAGAAGAGGTGCCAAGAAACTTTCGAAGTCCAACGACTGAGTCGTTAAACACTTGAAGATGACTCTCACAGCGGTACTTTCAGCCACAACTCATTGTGTGGCATTTTTGCAGCAGTTGCTAGGTGACTAAGAAGTCACATTAGAACACAGGCAACTCAAAAAGGTTAAAATCTCAATAAACTATTACCATTTGTAGCACTGGACCATAAAGGAATTCTGCTCATTTTGTTTTCTCAGAGAAAGGCAGGGAAGTTGCAGAGCTAACAAATCCTGATACATTGCATCTCTCAATGCAAGGCACTGACCTCCCAATGAGATACAACATTTTTTTAACTAAGAGAAAAACTGTGGCCTTGTAGTGATGACAGACGATTTAAAATGCACCACAGCCTTCTTTGCCCGCAGGCCTTTGTAGTTTCTCTAAAAATAGTACCCAGGGATTTGCCATCTAACATTAAGTATGATGTCGTCTCGGACAAAAGAGCTCAGTTCCTTCCTCTCTGTGGGCTGAAGCAATGAGGCGAAGACAGATGTCTGATCACCTGGGTCAGAATAGAGCTGCTTATACACCCACCATTCAGATTGCAGTGGGAAAGCTGAGTGGCACCTAAAAGTGATCGCTGAATGTGAAAGTGCTCTATTTAAATTTATGAGAAATGCCACAATGATGATCTGTTACTACCAGGCAATCTCAGCGGTATTACAAAAGAACACAGAAAATGTCGGGTCCATTATCATTCAGGTTATGTCACTCGAGTTACTGTATTATCTGTGTATTGTTATTGTTATGCAGAAGTGAAGGTAACCCCCCCCCCCAAAGACTCAGGTTTAAACCTAGAGGTTTGTGAGTTTGAATTATGTCTGGGTGAGACTGATAAACTATAAGTAGCAAAAAAGTAGTGATACAAAAGTTCCAGCTGCAGGTATCCAGAAAGTGTCCTGGGGTTACTTACTTCATTTATTTCAGTGATTATGCAACGTAAAAAGTTCCTTACAATACTTATTTTTGTCTTTTTTAAAATGTTTTTTTTATCAGATGCTTGTAAAGCACAAGCTAAAAGTTAAAGAGAAAAAAAAACATAATAATTATAAGGATATATTGTTTGGAACCACTGCTTTTAAAGAATTGACATTGCAACAAATAGCAAACTGCTCTTATGCAGCACTTATATTGATATTTTCAGCATCCATTTCTGTGTTGTTCAAATGTTTTTGTTTTTCCTTACTGGCATCAATCAATGAGTCAAACAGCAATAATCTCATTAAGGCCAGATCTTCCCTTAAGAAGAAGGAGAAAGTGAACTACTTGTCATTGTGACACAGCACACCGCTGCACACAATAAAAGGCGACCTCTGCTTTTAACTCATCACCAAATTGAACAGTGGGCAGCTTTAAGTGCCCAGGGAGCAGTGTGTGGGGACGGTGACATGCTCAGAGCACCTCAGTGGTACCTTGGCAGCTGGTGGATTCAAACCTGAAGCCTTCCTTAACCACTAAGGCACCACTGCCCCTAAGTTAGAAGCTTTTATAAAGTTAAAAGTATTTTGTAATCTGACATCAGCATCTTTTTCATCTCAACTTCTATGATAGACCTTTGTCCGTTCTTTTCCTCACCTGTTGTCCTTGACTTCTATGTGAGGAACCCTCTACTAACAAGATCCTGACAACTAATGAGACGAGGGACCAAGGCAACATTCAGGAGTCAATGGGAGCTCTGAGGCTACTCATTATATTTGCAAAGGCACTGAAGAAAAAGTCTCCAAAAGCGCACTACAATATTCATGACCATTAGGTAATGAGAACACTGGGACTATTGATCATATTGATTACTGCATGTAAGATAAAAGCACATTCTATTATCTTATACTCCAACACAAAAAAAGACATTCTTTGACTAGAAGCTTTATCTTTTAGATTAGAGTTGCCTTGTGTCTATTTTCACACCAAATGTGAACTAAAATACAAATAAAAAAGTATAAAAAATACTACTTCAAAGCTGTCACGTGGTGTTGTCAATTAGCAATAGCATAAAATGACACAAACAAAAGAAAACCATCAATATCAGTGAGAAGCATATGTCTACATCATCAACTCTACTGTTTGGAAGGATTACACAGTATATTTTAAGTATCATATTTTCTATGCTAATGTGGGAAAATGAATAATCTTCTTATCTAAGAATTTCCCAGGAAGTTATTAAATGTCATTTAGAAATCAAACGTTCTAAAATGGTAAAATTGGCATCTGGCTAAGAAAACCTCACATCACATATTTCTGTTGGACTTGGACTTGGTCACATAAGATTTGTAAGAATATTATTGGCTGCTAAAGCAGTGTTTAGCTATCTCTGGGTCAGGACCAAATCTGAATCCAAGTAAACACATAACCAAGATTTATAGAATTAAAAATAAATAAATAAATAATTTATATATATATATATATATATATATATATATGCGTATATATAAATTCCAAATGATCCAGCCCTCTGTTACCTCACACCTATTTCAAGTATAATGAGTACCATTAGTGGCATTGGGCAAATAAACCAGTTATATGCTGACATTTGATTTCTTTTTGGCACACTGTGCTCTTGTGAGCTGTCGTGTTGGAAAACATGACAAACAGCATGTCAGAAGATAGATGATGATGATGATGTACTGTAACAAGAAGTGAATACTTTTAAAAAAGTAATGTATAATCCCAGATACAGAGAACTAATTTTGTCTAATTTTGTCTCTCTGTCTCTATTGTGTACATACAGCTCTACACCCTGGCTTTGGCAGATCCCAAATTGTGTTGAATGCATGTGACTAGTTTTCACTCCACATATTTTCTCTTTCACAGAGGTCATTGATCTATTCACTGTTCAGTTTTGTGGGTTTTGTTGCAAGAGTTAGTTTGCAATTTTCATGAATCATGATTAAATTAAGATTAAAAACTGTAGTGAAGATGAATCAGCTGTGGAGTTGAATATTTACATACTTATCCTAGCTTCTATTTTGAGATATTATTATCTATGCTGGTGACATACACCTCTACATCACAGTGATGACAGCTGATAGGAGAGGTATAATTTATAAACATAATCAAGCCTGGAAGAGAAGACCATAACACATCTGTCCGTCGTGGCCTCTATGTGTGTAACAAGGATAGATTTGGAAATCCACACTGGATTACAAAGCCAGTGTGGTCGGTTCCATAGTGTAGCGGTTAGCACGCCTGCCTCGGAAGCAGAGAGCAGAGAGTCCTGGGTTTGAACCCAGCAGAGAGTCCTGGGTTGGAATCCCAGAGGAACCACATGCTTGCTGCTTGCCAGGGGCAGCCTGTTAACAGGATATCTGCTGCTAACACAACAATTTCCCAAATATGGGTTCAATATAGTACTAATTTATTATAATTATTTATTTAATTCATGGGTGTTAAATCACTACCTTGCATTGGTTTAGTTTCTAACTTGGCAAGACCAAACTCTGGCAGCACTGTAGCAGTGTTGCCGTGACAACAGGTCTGACACATCTGCTGCTGTGGGATGTTTTTCAAGGATGTTGTTGTACAAAATGTATGTAAAGAAGGGATGTGAATCCTTAGCTAGAAATACAAAAACCTCTCTTTTTAACAAATTGTGCATAATGGCCCCATGTAATGCTATAGCGTACAATGTAAACATGACCTCCAGATGGCTGTAGCTGTAGAAGGGAGTCGGCTATAGGCAGAGACACAGACTTCTCTTGTTTTTTTCACTTCTGTTACTACAAGTCATGTCCTAATCAGTGTTCACTATTTCATACACAAAAAATGTAACACTGGACTAGTTGAAGGACCAAGCTTGGTGGATAGGGATTACAACTTCCACTCCAAAGGCCCTGTTTGAATCAAGTTTCTCCTCACACTGTCTATGTGAAAAACACTTAACCTCCAAAATTGCCCACCATACCCCACCACACAATTCTTGTTCCATGCTCAGATGCAATAAATGGAGGGCAGAGATGGTGAGGAAGTGCACCCAGCATAAAAAAAAAGAAAATCATTATGTGGATCATCCAGTGTGAAAAGTGAGCAGTGGAGTGTCATGCTTTTCTGACTCTTCAAATTCAATAAAAGTCC